GTCGGCGTTCTTCAACATGAGGTTCCCAATGGCGAAGGTCTTTTCTCGGACATGTCTGTTGTAATATCGAGCAATCCGCCTCTTCATTCTCTTCTACCAAATGGGCTGAATTAGCTCGTTTCTCTTGAACAAGATCGGGCGCAAGCATTACTCCCGCGTCATTTGGTCTTGCCAGTCAATTAATTCTGCCTCGTTGAACTCCGAGGTGGTCACTTTTTTCCGTACGTGATGATTTTATACGACCAGTAACATTGTTTCCATCTCATGTGACAACATAAATGGGGAATTCTGGCTTGTCATAGATTTCATCCAAACTGTCCAAAGAATAGGTGGTAGAACCTCTGCATAATTTCTTTTTGCTCCTTCAATCTTCTTTTTTAACAAGTTCAACAAAATATTATTTGCTGCCTCGGCTTGCCCATTTGTTCGAGGGTGATGCACGGATGCAAACTTCAAGCACACTCCTTGGCTTTGGAAGAAATATTTCACTCTTTGGTTGACAAAATACATCTCGTTGGCTGTAATGAAACCAAAGTTTGCCCACAATGACAGATAAGATCCGTGCAGATGAAACTCTGAATGACGTTTGCAGCGATCTGAGCGAGTGGCTTGGCTTTGATCTACTTGGAAACATAGTCTATTTCAACCAAAATGAATTTGCACAGGTTATGTGATGGGGGAAATGGTCGGAGGATGTTGAGACTCTAGACCACAAAAGACCATGGAGTGATGATGAGTTGCAGTTTCTGTCAAAGCCAAGGAGTGTGCTTGAAGTTTGATTTGACAAAAACTGAGCGAAGTGGTGCATACTTCTGACCAGATGTGTTTGAATATGTTGCTTCACCCATATCAAACGACGATCTTTTATATGTTGCTTCGCCCATATTCAAACACATCTGGTCTGATATTGTAGTGGTGCATACTTCTAACATTATTCACATTTTCTGGAGACTTCCTCTACGTCTTTTAGTAGTGTTGGTCAGAAGTAGCCTTGTTGTTATACTCGATAAGCTAAATTCTTTCCTTCGAAATGGGTCCCTCTTGTGACTGATTTTCGGAGAAGCTTTCTTTCGATTAAAAGATACTAAGTTGCCTTAATCGCGTTTCGTTAACATCTACCCAGATCTTCTTGATCTCAAGGTATAGGATGTATGGGTCCACCCAAATAGTTAGCCCTTTGGTCTCCAGCTTTATCGCTTCGGCTTGTTCAATAGTTTGTCGGACAAGCTTTTGAGGCATCCCTTCCTCCAAGCAGATGCACTTGGATATGAGATCTGCTACTTCGTTGTTCTCGGGCAATGTTTTTGATCTTTAAGCCTTACTAGTTAGAGCGAGATCGAGCCCTCTCTGATTTGGCTAGATGCTCCGTCAATATGCAATATCCAGGTCTGACTGTCGATAGCTATTTCTTTGCCTGACTCGCTTGGTTCAAAAAAAAATGCTAGTAAGTCAACTATGGCTTGCTCTTTGATTTCGGTTCGGGGCACGTAAGAGATCAAACTCACTAAGTTCCACCACTCATTTGAGGAGCTGATTGGAATGCTCTGGTCGGTGAGGACAAACTTGAGAGAATAGTCAGCGATGACTCTGACCAGATGTGTTCGAATATGGTCGAAGCTTGCAAGCAGAAATAACAAAAGCGTATGTTAGATTTTTCATAAAATGGTTCTTGAGTTTAGCGCCTTGGAGGACCAGCCAGACGTGGTAAATCGGGAACTACTTCCCTAGCTTCTCTCAGACTAAAATTGAGCTGATGGCTACAGGTTTAACCCCTAATTATAGAGAAAGTTTTTCGTGCTTCGGCCTCTAGAGGAGCAGTGGTGATGCCAAGATTTTTTTCAACTTTCTGAACATTTGCTTGCATTCTTTTGACCAAATAAAGCTCTTCACTTGTTTCAAAGTTTTGAAAAAGGCTGCACATTTATCGCTCAATTTCGAGTCGAACCGGCTTAGACATGTGATCCGGTCGGTTAACTTTTATACTTCTTTAGTGTTTCGAAGGAATGACGTGCCGACCAACTCTTACACCTTTGGATTGGCTTTTATCCCCTTCAGGGTTAGGAGGTAGCCCAAAAATTTGTCTGTTGACTCCTTGATGGAGCACTTTAGTGGGTTAAACCTCATGTTAAATTTTTTTAAGTGACTTGAGTGGGTTAAACCTCGTGTTAAATTTTTTTAAGTGTTTCAAATGTTTCTTTTAAATCTTTTATATGTTGCTCAGTCTTTTATTGTTTACTAGCACATCATCTACATACATCTCAATGTTTTTCTCTTTTTACTTAAAAAAATATTACATCTATCATCCATTAGCATGTTGCTCCATCATTTTTCAGCATGAAGAACATGCCGCTCAATTGATGTAGACTGGCTGTCGACCTTTAATCCTTGACTAGGAGCACCTATCAGCAGAGCAAAACTAGACTATCGAGCAGATGGTGGATCACCATGTCTATAAGTCTCTTTACTGCATTGTTAATTATTGATCCCTGATAAGGAGCCTCAAGAGCATCCAAGGGATGGTTAGTGATTTTGAGAAATTGGCCATCCAAAATTACTAGCCAACTTTGCCTTATCTAATTAGAAACTTGAATTGAGATTAAGATCCTCCACAATTACCTACATAACTTAACTAATCCAACCATCCAATCCACTTTGGATGGCCAATATAACCACAGGAATTTGAGTGAATAAGATGTGTAATTGAACAATTTTTAGTCAGATTTTAGTTTCTTCAAGTCACCAGGTTGCTCCCTCTGATGGCTTTGCTGCACTCCTTGATACTGCTTAGTACAATCTTGATTTTGTTAGATTTTTGTAAGTACTTCACAGAACTGAGAGCCATAAAATGTTCAGAACTCTTTGGAAATAATTTGAGAATTTTCTTGAAAGAAGGGAAACTTGTTCTGCAGTTTCCATTTCAATTTTAACTTGTAATTGGTGTTATTACTCTTCGTGGAAATCCTTACACTGTGCTTTCTCACCTATTTTTGACATTTGGCGCACTTGCCTGTATAGAGATTATCTCTTATGGTGCTATGTGAGTGCATACCATGCCTTTCATGCTCTTTTTTTTCCAGGTTATTTTTTTCCTTATAATTTTCCATAACCTAGTAATTTAAGGTAGACCTGTTTGCGTTAATGTTCTCATTACTTGTACTCCTTTGATCTATCTGATAAAAGTTGTGCTAGTAAAGAATCGGCTTTCTGCTGCAGGCTATGACGTAGGAAGCCACTACTGAACAGTTAGGACTTCTGGTGTTTGATTATATTGCTTTGATCATTTGCTACATAAACTATATTTTCTTTTACATGCCTATGAAGTATGCATTTAGGGGCTCTTTGGTCGGCAGTAAAAGAAGTGCATTCTATTTTTTTTGTTGGGGTTTTTAAAATTTAAATCTTTGTTTGGAAGAAAAACAAATGCAGTGGAATTCCAATGTATTTGGAATTCACTCTAGTTCATATTTAATCTATGTGAAATTGGTTGGATTTGGGCAAATTTCAAATAAATTATTTTTGTGTAAGTTGATGCAACTGCCCACGGCTGCCATGCACCGCAGCCTGCCCCCTTCACTGTTGTCCATTGGCCCCGCCCCCGCCCCCGACCCCACCCCCCTCCTCTTCAATGGCAATTAGCTTCTATCGGTCTCCACCGCCGTACTTTATAGGTTTATTTTACGTTAAATTTATTTTTCTTTAGATTATATAGAGTCGTCTTGGATGGTTTGGTCACATTAAACGTTGACCATTTGATGATCTGATTAGGAGTATAGATGCTTTAGATTTGATTTATGTTAAGAAAGGTAGAGGTAGAACTAAAAAGACTTGGGCATGTTGTATTAAAAATGATCTTAATCCATTAGAATTAAATGAAGATTTGACACTCAATAGGACACACTGGATTCATGTAGTGGATCTCACTTGGTGGGATAAAGGCTTGTTGTTGCTGTTGTAAACTAAACAAGAAATTTCGAAGTCGAGCATTTATTTTACACTGAACTAAATAATCCTAAAATATTTCAAATATAATACATTACTTTAACACTGCATTGTTTTTTTCATCATCAAAACAAACAGCCCCTTAGTCTTATCTTTATCTTTGCATAAGTGGATCCATTTGGTTGGATGAAATTGTAAAGCCTCATAATTTTTTAGTAACTAGGAATAATGAGTCTTCTGGTTCCAAGCGCTTCTTGTTTTTTGGCAGATGTAAATCAGTTGTTAGTTCTCATATATTCTTATTTAAGATGGACATGATGGCATGCCGTATAACTATTTTGCTTCCACAGCCATATTAATAGAAGCCTCTTACCTCCTCCTTTGTAAGATGAGGGCAATACCACGAGCTAAAGTTATACATAACATAAATATGCTTGTATGTATGATATATAATACATACAATATCTATGTCATAAATACATAAATTCATGTATTTTATGTGTATTTATGCAGTAAGAAACACTCATACAAGTTCATGTATTATATATCAAGTTAATTTCAAGCAGAAACAAACTAATTTGAGCTAGTCATCTTTGGGTCAAACAAACCAATTTCAATTTTGAGTCAATTAAAAGTCAAGTGATTGTTGAGTGAATTAAAATTTTGGACATAATTATAGCCCTAAGTGTATGCTGTGCAAAATGAGTTAAAAGTTTATGTAACTCCCAGTAGGAAGGGAGATAAAGGACAATAAAGATGAGCCCAAATAATTGGAGTAAGACTATTGATAATGCTGTGATGTTGTATGGTGATTCCTTTTTAGCTCTTTCATGATGTACTCAATCAAACATAAAGTAAACAATTCTAGAAACAAATTTTAACCTTCATGTAACCAAATTGCTGAAACAGATTTTAATCTTCATGTAACCAAATTGCTCCCTACCTTGGAAGTCCTTTGATCTCATATTTTATTCTAGCATTTTAATTCAAATATTTTAAAATCCCCTTCTTTCTTGAATCACTTCCTGAATGTCATTCATAAATTGAAAATTTTATTACAGAAGCTACTCCGAAGACGATTATGCGAACAATGGGTGTAAAGGGACTTACACTTTTTCATCTTAAGAGCCATCTTCAGGTAGTTATGCAACATTTTACTGTGAGTCGCTTCTAAGTTTCCTGCTTTGCCTCTAGTGGCTTTGTCAAAATTGGAATATAAAAATGTCTGCTTTTTGGTTTTCTGTACCATTATTTTCTTATTCTATGTTTTATTTCGTGCCCAGAAGTACAGATTGGGGAAGCAATCTGGCAAAGAAATGACAGAGCAACCTAAAGATGGTAATTTACACATTAACTGTCCCAGTTTTCTGGCAGCTTTTGGCTATTTTACAACTTTTGCTTACTCCTCCCCTACGCACATTTCTTTGAGCAGTTTTTGTTTGATTTGTTGTGACAGGACGAACATAACCCATTTTGATTTTTTGTTTGACATTTAAACTCTAATGAAGCTCCAATTTTAAAAATTACTAGTGTCATAGAATTGATTGGGGTTCTAAATTGGGAAAATTGTTAAGAAAAGACATGGCCAGTGATATTTACTTGATTTATATTTGCTCTGTGTTATTTATATGGAACTCACACTCATCTTCCTGTGGTTTTATCATTTTATTGAACTTTCATTTCTTTTTATTGATATCTGCTTTGCTTGAAATTATACCGTTATACATTTGAATTCAAGGAAAGTAATGTAACCAGGAAGCACTATTTGAGTCTAATAATTTAATGCTGAATGTGCCATTCTAGAAACTATGTATTTGCATTGCACCAAATAAAATTACATGAAATACAATGTTTCTAAGTCTTACGTGCTACATCTACTAGAACATAACTGAGACTATTACTTCCTATTTCATCTGGTATTTTAACTTCCGCTCCTGCCTTTTGGAAGTTCCAGGTAGCAGTTCTTTGTCTCCAAGAATGCCTACTCCTGATATCAATGAGTAAGATGACAGTTCCTTCTTCTTACATGAACTATGATGTTTGTGAATTAGTGCCGAGTCATTTTGTTAATTCAATTAAATTTTCATGGGTGTTTAACACACACAACACAAAAAAAAAACATTAATGGTTCATGCCCAATTTTGGAGTTGATTAATGTTTTAAAGGATTGTAATTGTAGGAATCAGGAAGTTAAAGAGGCTTTGAGAGCACAGATGGAGGTGCAAAAAAGACTACATGAGCAAGTCGAGGTACAACTCTGCTGGTTTTATATTCTCAGTTTTCTTTGTCAATTTTCCTTTATGTTTCATGATGCCTTTTTCACATGATATTCCCTAATTGCTTTAATCAGTGCAATATAATACAGGATAGATTATTTATAGGTCCTTGAGATTTTTCTCATCTTTCTTTTTAATTAACAAATGAAAACTAAACTTATTGGCCCATTAGGCTTCAAAACATTTTTAATAATCCTCAAAAGCTTAGCTAAAGAGCAGTGTAGGGACTGACCTTTGTTTTGGAAAAAAAAAACTTTTTAATAATTATTTATACTTAAGAGAGAGAGAGAGAGAGAGAGAAGGCAATCGATGGTGACTGGTCTAGGAAATTTTTAAGGACCGTCAAATATTTTTTATCCCATCAGAACATTTGATAGGTTGGTAATAGAAAAGTTTAAAATTGTACAATTTAGTATTGAGATGTTTTTTTTGTCCGTGTGATGTGGCATAAATTTTGAGCATTTTTATGCGTAAGTTTCAAAATCAACAAATTGCGCTAAACAAGATGTATTGTATTAAGCTCAAAATATTTAGTAAGAAATAACATATTATTATCCTAGCCCATTAATAGATTGAAATGTAATATATTAATATTCTACTATGATAAAAGTAATAAATTGTTTAAAATTAGAATTTACATGTTAGCATCCAAACATTTAATCCTGAAATAAGTCGAGTTTTACAAATATCAAAGTCCGACCTAAAAATATAATAATTCAAAAAAAGTTTGATACAAATAGTCGCTCTCACACTCTTACTGTCACCCATTAAAGCAATAACATAACAAGCCACTAAGTTTAGAATTTTTAAATTCAAAAGTTTTTATCAATTTTATCATTTAGTGAACCCTTATTAGAATCGTCAGCATAATGATTTGCTTCCTCTCTCTCCTCATCATTACTTGTATTTGTTTTCTCATTTCTCCTCATTTTAAATTTTAATCATATTCATCTTGTCTAATAATATTAATTAATCAGAATATTTATTTGATTTTAAAGCACAGACTACATTGAAAGTAACAATTTTAATTACATCTTCAGTTATGTATTATATGGATAACATATGTTTTTTAGGGTATTTTACTTATTTTTATTAAAAAAAAAAAAACTTAGATCTTTTTGTGTAGGCCTCCTCAAAATTGAGGCAAAGAGAGGCTTGAGGCGGGCCTCACATTATGTGGGATGTATGTTTCACGTAGTACCCACAAAAACATAAGCTTTATTCTGAAAATTTAAAAAAGTGTTGAGATTAGGGCTGTCAAAACGGCTCGTTGTTCGCGAACAATTCGTGTTCGACTTGTTAAGAAACTCGTGTTTGGCTCGTTCGCTAAGTTAACAAGATGAACACGAACAAATATTTGTTCGTTCTTGTTCGGCTCGTTTTGGCTTGAAATACTACTAATCAATTATATATATTTCTTTGATGAGTAGTATTTTTTAAAAATTTA